AAAAATCAATGAAACCAAGAGCTCTTTCTTTGAAAAGATAAACAAAATTGGCGAGCCTTTAGCTAGACTTCCCAAGAATGAAAGAGAGACTGAGGCTCAAATAAATAAAATCAGCAATGAAAGGGGAGAAATTACAACGGACACCTCAGAAATACAAAAGATTATAAAGGAATACTACAAAAAGCTATATGGCAACAAATTGGATAATCTAGAAGAAATGGGTAAGTTCTTAGAATCATACAACCTTTCAAAACTGACCCAAGAAGAAATAGAGAATTTGAATAGACTAATCACCAGTAAGGAGATCAAAACAGTAATCAAAAACCTCCCAAAAAATAAAAGTCCAGGACCAGACAGCTTCCTTGGTGAATTTTACCAAACATTCAAAGACTTAATACCTATCCTTCTCAAACTCCTCCAAAAAACTGAAGAGGAAGGGAAGCTTCCTAACTCATTCTACGAAGCCAACATTACCCTGATACCAAAACCAGACAAGGACAACACAAAAAAGAAAATTACAGGCCAAAATCACTGATAACAATTGATGCAAAAATCCTCAACAAAATACTAGCAAATCAAATACAATAATACATTAAAAAGATTGTACACCATGATCAAGTGAGATTTATTCCAAGGATGCAGGGATGGTTCAACATCTGCAAATCTATCAGCGTGATACACCACATTAACAAAATGAAGAATAGAAACTACACAATCATCTCAATAGGTGCAGAGAAATCATTTGACAAGATATAGCATCCCTTCGTGATAAAAAATGGGTATAAAATGAAGGTACCTCAACATAATAAAGCCCATGCATGACAAACCCACAGCTAATATCATTCTCAATTCAGGAAAATTGAAAGCTATCCCTCTAAGAAAAGGAACCAGACAAGGATGCCCACTTTCACCACTCTTATATGAGATAATATTGGAAGTCTTAGCCAGGGCAATTAGGCAAGAAAAAGAAATAAAGGGGCCGGCCTGGTAGCGCAGCGGTGAAGTTTGCACGTTCCGCTTCTCAGCAGCCTGGGGTTCACCGGTTCAGATCCCGGTGCAAACATGGCACCGCTTTGCAAAAAGCCATGCTGTGGTAGGCATCCCACATATCAAGTAGAGGAAAATGGGCATAGATGTTAGCTCAGGGCCAGTCTTCCTCAGCAAAAAGGGGTGGATTGGCAGTAGTTAGCTCAGGGCTAATCTTCCTCAAAAAAAAAAGAAAGAAAACCAAAAAGGATCCAGATTGGTAAGGAAGGAGTGAAACTGTGACTATTTGCAGATGACATGATTTTATATATGGAAAACCCTAAAGAATCCACTAAAAAACTTTTAGAAATAATAAAAGAATACAGTAAAGTTGCAGGATACAAACTCAACATAGAAAAATAAGTTGTGTTTCCATACACTAACAGCAAAGTAGCAGAAAGAGAAATTAAAAATACAATCCCATTTACAGTTGCAACAAAAAGAATAAAATACCTAGGAGTAAACTTAATCAAAGAAGTGAAAGATCTGTACACTAAAAACTATAAAACATTGTTGAAAGAAGTTGAAGAAGACACAAAGAAATGGAAAGATATTCCATGCTCTTGGATTGGAAGAATTAACATACTTAAAATACTTCCTAAAGCAATCTACAGATTCAATGCAATCCTTATCAAAGTTCCAACAACAGTTTTCATGGAAATGGATAAAGATTCCTAAAATTGATATGGAACAACAAAGACCCGGAATAGCCAAAGGAATCCTGAGAAAAAAGAACAAAGCTGGAGGTATCACACTCCCTAATTTCAAAATAGGCTACAGAGCTACAGTAACCAAAACAGCATGGTACTGGACAAAAACAGAGACACAGATCAGTGGAACAGAATAGAGAGCCCAGAAATAAACCCAAACATCTATGGACAGCTAATATTCGACAAGTGAGCCAAGAACATACAATGGAGAAAGGAAAGTCTCTTCAATAAATGGTGTTGGGAAAACTGGACAGCCACATGCAAAAGAATTAAAGTAGACCATTATCTTACGCCATACACAAAAATCAATTCAAAATGGATTAAAGACTTGAATATAAGATCTGAAACCATGAAACTTCTAGAAGAAAACATAGGCCGTATTCTCTTCTACATCAGTCTTAACAGCATATTTTCAAGTACCATGTCTGATCGAGCAAAGGAAACAATAGAGAAAATAAACAAATGGGACTCTTTCAAACTAAAAACCTTCTGCACAGCAAAGGAAACCACCAGCAAAACAAAAAAACAACAATTGGGAGAAGGTATTTCTAAACCATATATCTGATAAGGGGTTAATATCCAAAATATACAAAGAACTCATACATCTCAACAACAAAAAAGTAACAACCCAATTAAAAAATGAGCAAAAGATCTGAACATACATTTCTCCAAAGAAGATATACAGACAGCCAACAGGCACATGAGAAAATGTTCAACATCATTAACTATCAGGGAAATGCAAATCAAAACTACAATGAAATATCACCTCACTCCCGTCAGAATGGCTATGATTAACAAGACAGGAAACCATAAGTGTTGGAGAGGATGTGGAGAGAAGGGAACCCTCATACACTGCTGATTGGAGTGCAAACTGGTGCAGCCCCTATGGAAAACAGAATGGAGATTCCTCAGAAGATTAAGAATAGATCTACCATAAGGTCCAGCTCTTCCACTGCTGGATATTTATCCAAAGAACATGAAGACACGAATGCATAAAAGATACATGCACCCCTCCATTCATCATACCATTATTCACAATAGCCAAGACTTGGAAGCAACCTAGGTGCCCATCAAGGGACGAATGGATAAAGATGTGGTATATAAACACAATGGAATACTACCCAGCCGTAAGAAATGATGAAATCTGGCCATTTGTGACAACATGGATGGACCTTGAGGGTATTATGCCAAGTGAAATAAGTCAGAGGGAGAAAGTCAAATACCGTATGGTCTCATAAGTAGAAGATAAAAACAACGACAAACAAACAGATAGCAACAGAGATTGGACTGATGGTTACCAGAGGGGAAGTGGGTAGGGAGGTGGGCAGAAGAGGTGATTAGGCACACGTGTGTGATGATGGATTGTAATTAGTCTTTGGGTGGTGAACACAGTGTAATCTACACAGAATTCAAAATATATGACCAGGTACACCTGAAAGTTATATAATGTTGTAAACCAATGTTACCGCAATTTAAAAAAAAATTTTTTTAAAGAATTTCGGGGGAGCAGCTGGCTGGGTCACAAGTATCTACCAATACAGGTTATTAGAACATGTAAGCATTCCTCAGAAATGCCCCAAATATAATGGGGAGAGGAATCAGGTGAAAAGGTATACTTCCTAAAGACATTCACACATAGTGCAGAATGAACTATCATCACCCATGCTTTACAGGAAACGCTGACTCTTGGACGTGGAGATTTCACACCCTGAGTTACATCTACCTGCTCGTTCCCGCTCACATTAAAACTGGCCCCTTCCTACCATAGTCTCTTTTAATTGAGTTCAACCTTCTTTTGTTGGAGTTTGGGGTTTTATAAACTTTTTATGACTTACTTGGCTGTTTATAAATATTTAGCAATATTGCATTTGAGCAAGATTTTGTTGTGCTAGGGAGTAGCAAGAGGCATCCTGCCCAGGGAATGAATCTGGCCCTATATTTTAAGGCTAGCTCTGCTTAAATCATATACTTGGTAAACATTTATTAAGCATCTACAATGTAAGAGGCTCACGGCACTGAATCGGTTGGCAACATGCCTCTCCATGATGTCAGGATGTAACAGGAGAAAAGACATTTTCATCAAGAATGACTACATAATTTGGGGATTCATAATTGAGGTCAGTTAAGGACAGGGCCTTCCCCGTCACTTTTTCTGAAGGAAAAGCCTCATGAGGTAGTTGAGAATGTAGATTGAGTCATACCTGGGGAAGACATGCAGCTTCCATCATTTACTAGCTCTAGAGCAAATTCTCTTTGGTGTGATTCTTCGTGAACAAGATGAAAGTTCCATAGAGTGGTTGGAAGGATTAAATTAAGACAGCGAATGTAATGTGTTTAATACAGTTTGTGGCACAGAATGAATAATGTTAATTGTTATATTTGCTTTGTGCTCTCTTCACAGAGAAGTATCTACCACCTCCAAAGCCCTGTTACCTGTAATTGGAGGGGTTCCTTCTGATGTCAGTCAACAAGTTATTAATTTCATTCAATAAGTTAAAAAGAAAAATAGAAAAGACAAAATTTTAGTTTCATACATGTGCTCAGCACTGTGGTAGGGGGCTCTGTACTGTTATAAAATTAGTATAAATACAGTTTCCTAACTCTAGGTGACGTTCATCAGACATGAGACATCTGAAGGTCTGAAGTTCATCCCAGGAAGATTAATAAAAAGGAAAGGCTATGAAAGCTGCTCTCGAGGAAGAAATCTTGGGTAAAAAGGGAGTATGGCTATAGGAAGGACCTGGAAATACTGGGAAGTAACAAATTTAATATACATACATCATGTTAAACATCTGCCAGATTTGAAAAGGTGGATAACTTCAGCACTGACTTCTTGATCCTGGGGTGATCAGGGACTTCTGCCTTATTAGATATAGTCCCTCAGACAGAGTCCCAGAAGAAAATTGACTCAATAACTACACCACATGGAATCTGAAGAGGTGTCTAATCTGAATAGGGTTCTATTTATTTTTGTATTTAAAAACTCCTCATTTTATGAATGCACATTTATAGGGGAGATTAGAACAATCACATCAACAACTGTCCTCACATAATAGATAGTTGTTACTTGAAATGAAAATCCAAGTGATAGTAATAAATGCAGGTATATATAGTAGTGTATGTAAAACAAGCCAGATGAATGATGTCATGTCCTGAAAAAGTTTCTGGTGACAGGAAAGATTGGCCCAAGACAAGGACATTGATGTCAGAAGACGCATGTAAAGAGTTCAAATTAAATGTGAAAAAGTAAAAAGTAGTAAAATATTTAACATGTTAAATAAATGAAACTTTAATTACTAAAATGAATAATAAAAATGGGAGAATCCCTCCTCCCACATTAGTATATTTTTACAGACTGTATAATCCTAGTCAGAGCCATTGGAGCTGTCGTTTCCCACTTCGCCTTTGCTTCAGTGAGCCTCTCATTCCCTGAGGGATGGAGGTCTTTCATGTATTTGGCTTCTTCCTCCACTACTTGTCTTATGGCTCTGATTCTTCTTCCTCTTCTTCCTCTTCCTCTTCCTCCTCCTCCTCTTCTTCCTCTTCCTCCTCTGAGGGAGCTTCTGAGCCAGCCTCTTTGGGCTCCGCTTCTGGGGGTTTTTCTGCAGCCTCTTCTGGGGGTTTTTCTGCAGCCTCTTCTGCAGGCTTTTCTTCTTCTTTTGCACCTAAGCAACAGTAGATGCCACAAATAATCAACATCAATAATAATATGAGTAAAAGTATAAGGAATATTAAAACCATCATGTCTAACAATAATCCTGCCCCTTTGGGAGGGCTGGTAGTACTTTGACTTTGAGGCTCTTCTGCACTTGGCAAACCAGGAGGACCACTGTCCAAACTACCCCCATTTCCTGGAGTTGTGCAGTTAGGAGGGGCATAGCCAAAATTACAATGGCAGTGCTTTAAATTGTTGCAAATTCCTTTCCCAGCACACATTTCCTCTGGATTGCAGTCATAGTTGAGCACAGTGTCAGGAGAACAGGAGTGACCCATGCACACTTTTCCTGAACTACACAAAGTGCCAGCGAACACATCTCCATCATCAGGGATATCAGCAGTACCATTAGTTGCATCCATGCTCCAGCAAAAGTCATCTTCAAAAGGGACCTGTATCAGTGTATGTAGAGGTTTGATTGGTGGTAACTGTCTAATATTTGTACAAATAATTTTCCCACAGTATAAATTATCATCTGCACACTTAACATATTCTGGGTTATTTAAAGTGGGAGGGCCACAATTTCCAAACCGGGTCCCTTTGCGATTGAATAAATTGTAACAGTCTGAGGGGGCAGACTTTGAAGGATGACCAAAAACACGAGCACATTGTTCATCAGGTGTCCGGCACTGACCCTGAACACAATAGTGACTACCGTAACATTTTGTACCATCTTGTTTGTAGCTGTCTGTGGGGCATTCTGCAGAGTTACCATCACAATACTCTGGGAGGTCACAATCGTCAAAGGCACTGCGGCATGTGGATCCGCTTTCTGCAAATAGACACGAACTATTACAGCAGGGTCCAGGACTACACTGAGCATTATCCTTCAGCTTACATGCTGGGTTACAGCAGGGGTGATTGTCACAGGCAGAACCACAGTCACACTGCTCATCCTCCTCCACCACACCATTACCACACTCAGCATCCCTACGCACGCGGCCTTTGTGCTGAGGCTTGTTGAATAGGCAGGCCCCTTTGTGGTCAAGGAGGAACTGGTAGAAGTCGTCAGAGCTGCAGTTGCTGAAGCCACTTTCTTTAGTGATGTTTTCATGCATGAGGCAAAAGTGTGTATCTTTACAAACGCAGGCCGAGTGGTCGTGCTGAATACCCAGGTTGTGCCCAAGCTCATGGACCATGAGCGCTGCAAACAGGAGGGCATCTTCATGATGGAAGGATTCAACAGCTGCTGCAAAGCCAGTGGAACAGGCACCATTGAGAAATGCCTGTCCCGTGTCCTCTTGAGGGCGATGTCCAAGAATCATGTGGGCCACATCATGCTTCACACGATGGAAGAGCTTGTCTTGTCTCCAGCTATTGAAATTCCTGAGGGTAACTTGCAAGTCCGCTGGGACCTCTATGAGGTCCCCCTCGGTCCAAATCTCCATTCCAGCCAGCACCACCTCCGTGTTTATTCCCCTAGTGAGGCGTTGGCCAGGGCAATGACGTCCCATTACTCTCTGGACTGTCTCATTGATGTTACTGCCGTCCAGACATGCTGACCTCCTTGCTGTGCTTCAAACATGCCAAGCGAGCTCCCGTCTCAGGACCTTTTCACTTAGAGGTCCCTCTGCTTGGCTTGCCCTTCCCCTGATACCTGCAGTGCTTCTTCCTCACTTTCTCCATGTCCCTCAGATGCCGCCTTATCAGACAGAACTTCTCTGACCACGGCTTAAAATAGCACTCCACCCTCACATCACTCCTGTTCCCCGGGCACTGCTTCATTTTGTCCCATCGCACATATTCCAGCCTGGCACATCGTATACTTATCTGTTGACTGATGTCAGGTTTGTAATTTTTTAAATGTTCATGGGATCAGAGACTTTGTCTCATTTACTATCATTTCCACGGTACTAGAACAGTTCTTAGGTAAAGACTCAACCGAGGTGGAATGAATGAACGAATGAGTGAGTGAATAGAGAGGGGTAACCTGTATCGGTCCCTTAGTAAACTCAGACTTCTGTAGAAAGCATCCAGCTTGGACAGCAAGGCCTGGAATGTGGAAGTTGGCCCGCCCTGAGCCACCTGCACATTAAGGATTGAAGATACGGTGGGGAGAGGGAGAAAGCTAGAATGCCTGATTCAGGATCCAGGAAGCAGGATTGCTTTTAATGCCACCGTGGTCTTGAGTGGGGCTCTGAGGAAAAGAATAAAGTCCCTACCAGTCTTACCCCTAACTGGGCCCAAGGCACACATCAACCAAATCTTGCTACTCACCCCAGAGATTTATAATTTACTAGGGGAAATAGAATGTGTTTGCAAATGACTGTATGTCAGGTCAGAATGCCGTGGATATAAAGGAAATTCAGTATTATGACTTGATAATGGATAAATCTTGTCGTTGCTGAACAACGTACAGTGAATAATACAATCTTACATCCATCATCGCATTTTATCTTAGATCTTCTCGGCATTTATTTGAGCGCCCGCTGGACGCCAAGCGCTGCGCTAGGTAGCAGCACACACGTGCCCTAATTTAATCTCTCAGCCACTCTGTGAGAGGCATCCTTTGTGCTAACGTCTCACTAGGGAGGAATCCCAGGCCCGAGGAAGTGAAGTTCCATGTCTAAGACCAGTCAGCCAGAATGTAACACCCGAGACTTAGGACATGGACTATGAAAGCCCCCTCAATCAGAGAAAAGGTGACTTTCTTCTTTTGAAAAAAGGTGCTCTTTTGCTCTCAGAAAATTCTTCCCGGTAGGATTCGTCAGGCTAGAAGGACGAGGGACTCAAAGCTTACGCGGCACTCACGCTCTTAGCATCCGAGGAGAAGACAAGAGCTCTCACAGTGCCTGTGGGATACGTTCTGAGAAATGTTCCGATAGGCGACTTCGTTGTTGTGTGAACATCACAGAGCGTACTCACGCAATCCTAGATGGCATGGCCTACTACACACCCAGGCTATATGGGACTCATCTTAGGGCACCAGCGTCGTATATGCGGTCCGTCATTGACCAAAACGTCGTTTTGCGGCACATGGCTGTGTTTGGATTGGTTATAAAAACAGCTAGTCTGACAGTAAAGATGACTAAAAATCGTATCTGTCCTGGAAAATCCGCGAAAAAGCTCACAGGTTCTGTTTTTAGGTGCATCATTATATAAAACGTAAATACTTCAATGCAGACTCTCAGTAGTTGGGGGATTTGATTCGATGTACTGATACCATTTTGTTGCAACAGTTTTAGTTTTCCTTTGAGGAGATTCCCGTCTGTGAGCTTTCCTTAAATCGTGACACATCAGTTACCTCAAAGTTGGGGTCCGTTCTCATTTTCAAAGAGCAAGGAATTAATTGGTGGGCTTTTCGTTATTTGGCATATTTATTTGCATTTCTTTATTTTTCTAGTGACCTAATGTATCCACGGAACTATAAAGGATGGCTTTGGGTGGATCTGGGATCAGGGGAGGGCATGAGGGAGAGCCTTTTCTCCTGTTCCGGGCACTGACACTATGCCTTTTAAATTTCTATTTTCCATGTGAAATTGTCTGCACTAACACCCAGCTCGTGATTATTAGGTGACTGAAAATGCATTACTGGAAGAAATGCTGTGGTTTCGGAGTTTATTCCCTTTGTCTCTTACAAGGTTTTCTTTCCATTTCTTCATGAATGCATGGGTACCTCCAGAATTTGAGATTCTGAGAACATGTTCCACGAGTAAACACCTTTCTCACTCTCAAAGCGCCAACTGGAAATTTCACTCAACGACAAGGATGCATATATGCCCCCTCTTCTATAGAAAACAACCACTTGATGGTCTGTTTCAGACTGACTCTCCTGTAAGTTCTTTCCCTGAGTATCCCCAAAGAGAGCCCACGTTTCGTTCAAAAAAGTAGAGAAAGGTCTGCTGGAGCAGTTTGAGGAGCCTCGCTGGCGCTGTGAGAGTTGGACTAGATAGGGGTAGGGAAGAGTAAGGTCACTCAGCGGGAACAAGACTGATCAAAAGCCCAGAGTGGGAAGTGGCCGCGGTATGGAACGGGGACGGAGGTTCTCCCTCTTAGACGTGCTGATAGGAGGAAATGTTTCTTTTCAAAAGTCACAGGAGACAACGGATGGAAATGGACAGGAGGACCCAATTGTCACAGTCCTTTCACGCCACACCAAGTTTGTCTTTCTACTCTAGATCATGGGGGAGCAATGGCAGTTCCTGAACTCGACTGTGGTGACAAAATCAGTGTCTGGGGAATCATAGGAAGGCTGTTGGAGAGCCAGTCAGATCGATTATAGCAATGAAATACAGGGTGAGGTTGCAAACACTTGGTCACTGACGATTCCACCTCTGTTGTTTTCTTTTTAGGTATTTACAAAAATATTTTCTAACTGTGAGAAGAGTCACTACGTCTTTGTCATTCACAAATTGATCCAACACTTTCGTTATCCTCGTATATTTCATCCCGGCATAATCTCTTTATGTAAGACTTCCATAATTTTATTGAATAACAAAAGTGGTATTGCCTCTTTGTTGCCTATTCTTCAAAAACTTTTAAAGCCTAATGTCCAGAAGCAGGGGAGTATTAATTTGAAAGAGTCAGCATTTTGCAAATATTCTTGGAGGAAGTCTGCTCTTGCTTTTGAGAAAACATTTCAGCGAGCATACTTGCCCCAAGGAAACACCAACATTCTATTCTGAAATTAAGTTCGTAAACACAGAAGTTTAAAAATTTTTGGTAAATTTCCAAAAAGTTTTGCGAACTAATAATGTAAAACTTGAGTGCAGAATTGCACCCCTGTGAGGTTGGTAATGTCACCTGTGTTTAACGTAAATCTCTTCTTTTTCCTGCAGCCGAGCTGCAGAGGAGAGAGTGCAATTTGACTCCAAATTATGAGGACAGTCCCCAAAACACTCCTACGTGGACCAGGAAAGATGGCAGGCTAGAGACATCCAAAGAAAGCGAGGACCGATCCGAGTCTCCCAGGGAGGGGCATGACCTCTGGACTCCAGGAACGCTAATATTGGCAGCATCCAAACGTCCTTAAAGAAG